TAAATTTAACTTTTCAAAGTTATAAATAATTCATGTAACATTAAATTTGAATTCTATGTAAATATTTCTTGGTATAAATATGAATATATCATTTTGTTCAATTCTTAGTTTACATTTTAATAAAAAAAATATTTTTTGCTATAAATATGAAAAATTCTATATTTTTATAATTTTATTTATACAATAATACGTGTCAAATCGGAACAAACCGCGACCCGCTCGACCCGAATGAGTTAGCGGGCGAACTTGGGTTGTAGTCCAAAATTTGTGGGGCCGATCCAGAACCGGCCCGGAACCCGTAGCGGGCGGGCTTTTTTTCACACGGGCCGTTACCGAGCTCATATGTTGATGGGCCGACCCAGCCCGGACCACCCGAATTGACACCTTTACTCAAGGCATGTGGAAGCTACTTTGGCTAAAACTCAAATATTTCTGGGAAGAATTGACGATTGAAATAGAAGGGCCAATGAGATTATGCCCATATTTGGGCTCCATTTTTCTATAAATGCATTTTTCCAAAAACCTTTTTCAACCACACATTCTCTTAAAATAATGTTACAAGCAAATCCAAAACATTTTTTATTCTACAAAAAATCACTACTTCAAAACACATTTCCTCCCAAAATCTCATTTTCATGGAGCCCACACATTCAAAGATAGCAAGGCAACTATAAGCACAACACACAACCCGGTTGAATGGGTAGATTTTTTTAGAAATAAAAAATAAAAATGTCATATTAAAAAAATTCCCAAATCTCAGCGGGACCAATGGGCCCTTACCTCCCTCCAACACTGATTGATAGACACATTATTAAGAAAAAATTAGAAAGTGGAATAATTTGCATGACATTGGTTCCAACACACGAACAAGTGGCTGAAATTTACACTTAAAGAGTTTTGTCAAGGACGTGTTTTGATGCATTGGCAGGTATGCGGGGTCTTCTAGATATTTTCTGAGGGCGGTGTTAGCGTAGTTGGTTATTTTATTCTATTTTGAGTCAAAGCAGTTAGGATAACTACTATATTTTGGGAGTTATTATCAATTTCTTAGGAAGATTGTACCAATTTGTTGTTATTCTTTAGTGTTAAAATAGTCCGTGTATACACAATGTATTTGTACTTTTCCGGCATATGAAAATACAGCTTTTATCCTACCATGTTGACACGGTGTCACAACAAGCAAAGGTCATCGTTTAATTCTTCCGGCCACCATATAATTGTGCACGTGTTAGGCTTTGATGAGATGGAAAAAAAAATGAACCATGTTTGCACAAGGAGGTATATTGAAGATAATATTCAAATAATATACATGTCACCCTATTTGAACAACTTTAGCTTTTAGATTATGTGGTTCAACACTTCTCTATCAACATAACTTTTGGATGAGGTGCTTTAACATGGTGTCACAGCTAACAAATTTCTTACATTCACGTCTCTCTTTTGTCTATTTATGAAATTTTTGAGCGTGCAAGACCTTTTACTCAAGAAGTGGATCCAGCTACATGTGAAGGAGTGTGTTGATGACTAAAATTAGATAAATGAACTTGTTCAACATCTTAAGCTTTTGTATGGGTGATTTAACAAACAAAAATAGAAAAATTGTGACCATAATTGATGATTTGCATAGCTAAAGAAAATGGTACCTTCCAGGTCTAAGCATTAACGTTGTTGTGAACATTGTGTAAGATCCAGTATACTCTGGAGATAGGTGCTCTCCTTCACTCCATCCATCGAAGGAGCCCATGATTTGCACACTCTAACACATTTACGAGATTAGAAACTTAAATTTCCCTAGTTGATAATATTAACACACTAGAATTGGTAGGAGCAAATTTTTACCAGAAATAACATCAAGTACAATTATTCTCAACGCTACAGAACCTTCCAAATAACAGACTTATTCCATTGTATTTTTTATCACTTCTCTCCATTAAAAAGAAAAAAAGCTCTAAATTGTTCCAATGTCTTTGCTAGCTACGGAGAAAATTATATCGTCCTGAGCATATGCAAGCATCAAGATGATGAATTCGTTTAATTACCTACTAGCCACTTCTAAGTGCTTTATAAACACAAATGAATCGTTGACCAGGTTACTTACAGAAACATATTTCCACCACCAAGGTAACAAATGAAACAAAACTATTAAAATTGGAAAAAACCAAATTTGAATCTATAATGAGTGAAGTATTAAAAATACTGAAGTTAATAGAGCATGTTCAAATTTATGATGTCTTTGTCTACTAGTAAAATAATATTTAAGCCTGTTATTTCAGTTTCTCTGCATATTTTCTATATTAAATATGGTCGACGCTGTTCCTATTTTTGAAATTTAAACTCAATTAAGACTTACTTGTGCATGCTTACCATTCCAAAAAATTAATGAACCTAAGAAATGAAAAGAATAAAGTTAATTTAGTAGTTTATTTGCATAAATGCTGTTTTCAGAAACTGAAAATCCAACAGGATATATATTATTGGTGATGCACAATGGAACTTTAGCTGCTTTTGATCATTATTATTACTTTTGATTATTACCCATTCTAGATAATCACTATCATTCAAAATACACATATGCTTTCACATTAAAAACATGTAAGAAAAAAAAATATCTTTCCCTTTATTTACCTCTGCTACTCCAGACCAGAATAAAGGAACCTCCTTGGGTTGTGCAGCATCCACGTCCTTTATCTGTTCCTTTATTTTTTCTTGAACAGCTTTTACCAAGCAATATATCAAGAAAAAACAGGTAAAAGTGTGGTTAGTCCAGATAAGTGCATCTAACAAGTTGTCTTTGCCAAGAAAAATATGTGAAGAACATAGTATTGCCTACAACTACTCAGCCAAGCTGGTTGATGATTTCCCTCGCCCTTTATCTGTACAATTTCACATTGTCTCTTTCTTTTGTTCATTTTACATTTTCACATTTTTATTTTATTTTATGCGCCAACATAGTAGAGCCTAAAACTAGTTCAACCAAAACGATCATGGATGTCCCTCTTTCTTTCTCCATTTATGTTTGTTTTATATTATACTGTTGTTACGCCTCCTTTGAAAGTCTATTTGAGTCCAACTAAATTTATTCAAATTTAACAAAACAGAACTAAATTGGCAAGATACTGAAGTTTCTGAATTACTTTTTTTCACCTGCAGAAAGAATGTTCACATCTGATCTACCATACGGGAGCAGAAGTGCATGCTCAGATTGTGAACTTATAAAAAAAGTCAAATCTTACATATTTCCATGTCCTGTTTATACCTTGTAATCGCGAGAGAAGGTGAGACTGAATGTATCTCCCGTTAATCTTTCTTGAACCATCTGGGATATTGTAATTAGCAATTTCTTCTGACAATTTAACCAGAGCCTGTAGAAGATGATAGGAATATCAAATACTGTTCTCAAATGTTCAAACATGGCCCAATTTATAACCTAAAGGTCTAGAGTGCAGTGAAGTAATTGTTGAAGAAGGAAACCTGAATCTCAAGTTCCACAGTGGCAAGTTCACTTTTGAAACTAATCAATGAGTTCTCCATTGTTTGTAACTGCAGAGACACGTGTCATTGGTTAAAAAACCATCTGAAGCAAGACTATGCATAGCATTATCTCGATTGAAGTATCTATTTCGCAATTCTTGTTGACCAAGTCAAAACAGAATAGAAAATCAAAATTATGAAAATTAATCTCACAAGTGCAAGACACTAACTTGATTCCCTCTTGAAAACCTTTTATATTCCTAGTTCAGTTGATGGCCAATATCTAACATCATTATTATCTATAGTTGCCTTTCCAGTCGACACTAAGATGAGAAAAAAACTATTTATAACTTATATTAATTGAAAAAACAAAAAAAGAAACAGAGTTTCAAACCGATTTAAGCATATTAAGAATGAAAATCGAAGAGGTGTATTTAACAGTGATTACAATAGACCCAAGAAAATGGATGAACTATCTTGGCAAGTTCTTTGTAAGACCTTACATGGGGAATATTTCCAATTTTATTGAAGACACATATGTCAACTTGTCAGGTGAATAGTAATTGGGGAATAAGAAGAAGCAGAACTGAAAGGAAGAAGTCATCCAACGGCAATTAACAGAATTTGGAATTGCAACGACACTGTTTGGCTTAAAATCAAAATGACACCATTTTGCCTAAATAAGTTGTAATAGGTTTGTTTTACGCTTTATCACTTTCAGTCGGGGAAATGCGAATTTTAACTGTATGAAGGGATATATAGTAGCCCAGGTGCAAGGGGGAAGTCTGTATATTGTTTTTCTGCCAAATTTCAGTGAAATTGTTGATTGAATCAACAGCTTTCTTCCTCCTCTCTTGTTCGTTTTACATCATTTTATCATATCTCCATTCAATTTTTCTTACATGCCTAGAGTCACATCAGCATGGACGTCATAGAAGGATTACCTAATTCGGGGGGTAAAGATACTATTGTGGTGGTAGTGGATAGATTTACAAAATATGGACACTTCATTGCCATCTCCCATCCTTTCACAGCCGTTACAGTTGCAAGAAGCTTCATTGACGTTGACTTTAAGCTCCATGGACTACCACAAAGCATTGTATCTGACAGGGATAAAGTCTTCACAAGCAAGTTTTGGCAGGAACTATTTCAACTTATGGGGAGCTCTGCTTATCACCCTCAATCAGATGGGCAGACTAAAATACTCAACCAGTGCTTAGAGATGTACTTAAGGTGCATGACATATCAACATCCTAAACAATGGGGAAAGTGGCTTTCACTGGCAGAGTGGTGGTATAATACTTCCTACCATTCCTCCTTAAGAATGACTCCCTTTGAAGCCCTTTATGGAACCAAGCCACCTCAATTGTCTTTGGGACCATACCAGCAATCAAATGTTGCAGCTGTGGAAGAGTGGCTTCAACAAAGATATAGATTAAATCAGCAGCTGAAGGAGAGGCAAGTGCCAGAATGAAATTATATGCGGATAAGATGTCTGAAACGTCTTTTGATGAAGGTGATTGGGTCTTCCTCAAACTCCACTCCTACAAGCAACAATCCGTGGAGCACAGACAGAATTATAAACTAGGGGCAAGGTATTTTGGTCCCTATCAGATTATCAAGAAAATAGGCACAGTGGCTTATCGGTTCTCTCTCCCAGCCACTTCCAGAATCCACCCGGTATTCCATATCTTATTGTTGAAGAAAAAAATGGGTGATAGAGCAATGCCAATATTGCAATTACCAGACGAAACTCACCCACATCAGCCATTGCACCTGCCCCAAGCCATATTACAAACTAGGGCGGTAAGCAGACGAAATCGCATAGCAACACAATGGATTATTAAATGGTCTGGTTTACTTGCAATAGTTCGATGTAGGAGGATGCTCAATGGATTAAATCGAAATTTCCTCTCTGTAGATCTTGGGGACAAGATCAATTTGAGAGGAAAGGTTGTCAGGTGAAGAGTAATTGCGGAATAAGAAGCAGAACTGAAAGGAAGAAGAAGTCCAACAGCAATTAACAGAATTTGGAATTGCAACAACACCATTTGGCTTTAAATCAAAATGACACCGTTTTGCCTAAATAAATTGTAATAGGTTTGTTTTATGCTTTATCACTTTCAGTAAGGGAAATGTGACTTTTAACCGTATGAAGGGATATATAGCAGCCCGGTGCAAGGGGAAAGTCTGTGTTATGTTTCTGCCAAATTTCAGTGAAATTATTGATTGAATCAACAGCTTTCTCCCTCTTCTCTTGTTCGTTTTACATCATTTATCATATCTCCATTCAATTTTTCTTTTATTTGGTTACTATTTCAGCTGAGAAACTTCACTGATTGACCTGTGGAAGCTTAGGTTTGCGAGGTAAATTTTAGCTCGTGACACAACTACACTTGATGAATCTGGATTCAAGAACTCAGGGAAGACATAGAAGATGAAGAAGAGAAAAGCAACTACACTAGATGGAATCTCTATTGAAGTGCAAAATTTTACAGATTGATATATTAAAGAGAGAACATGTTCGATGTATAAAGAGTGCTATAGTCTCTATATATAGAGGTAAAAAAGATTATAAAAATTGCACAAACTTTATAGGTATTACTTTTTATGTCATTCAATAGAACTATGAGTGAATGTGGTTGAGTACAGATCAAATAACCAATTTGATTTTATGCAGGGGAAATCTACAGCGTTAGTCATTTACTTCAAAGCAAAAGTTGCATATAAATTTTCTTAAGCTAGAAAAAGTTTATGATAGGGTTTCTATAAAGAATCACTCACTTTATAATGGTTCTATGATTCCAAAAGACAGTCGAGAATGGGATCAATGACCAATATAATTATTTGTACTGGAAGTACTTCATTTACATATAATAGTAAAACATGCTCATGTACATCATAGTTGACCACACATTTCTTAGGTGTCTTAAGGGTCAGCGCTGCACACCTACTAAAGCTTCCTTTGCTCTAGATAGCTTTTGAGGATTATCCAATTATTACAACTTACTACCTTCTTTCCACCTGACATTGATTTATGTCCATTCCAATAAAAGGTATAAAATGAATCCATATTGAAGTTTTGGCTCACTGATCAGACAATTCTTCACAATCCTGAAAGGTCAGGTCTCATTTGATTTGACGAAAGCACAGACATAATGTTGCATATTTTAATCACGTGGCACAGACAATGCAATGGCCTTAGTTAACCCATTGTATGCAGAAAAAGAAGCAAAGATCAAAAGTAACTACAAGAGGATACATATATAAATATCCAAATGCAACAATCCACAGTTGAAGTTGAAGTAGCACTAAAATATGTAAAACTATTCCAACACCTATTACAGGACAAATGCAAATCAATGGTATAACAACCTTAAATATCTATTTGAATCATTATAGACCTTCCAATGACATTTTTGACACATGATTGAGGTCATTAACTAACATGATGAAGATGATTAACACACCTGACGCTTCAAGAACCGATTCTGCTGATTTGCTTCGCTCAGTTTCTTGATAAGCTTTGATCTCTCAGAATCAGCCAGCAATGCCTTCAGCTGTTAAGAAGTGAGAGTAGGCTGTGGTAGAAAGCACTATCCATGAAACATCGTACTAAAGGAAATAATCAAAGATTGACATCTAGTAAAATAGAGGCAACAAAACAGACAATGATAGAACATTGTATGAGGCTTGAGAAAGATTTCACATTCCCATTTTCTCCTTTAACTGATTGGTAGTAAGCTTTACCTCTTCACTACTTAAAGGTCGTGGGGCTTCCTCAGACACAGACTCCTCGTCCTTTGGAAAATTCTCTGTTAGTGTTGATGATGAATCCTCCTCCACACTAATCGGTTTGCAACATACTCTCCAAGATACATGGTGCATAGCATTTTTTGAAAATGAAACTCGATTAGATTTTGTCAATCTTTGGTGATCCACTACAGAACTCCAACCAGCCATATTACCCTGATTTCTATGAACATTTTTCACCTTGATCCTGTCATTTATCATTTGGTTTCAATCAAATGGAAACAGAAGTCATAAATTATGCACATAAAAATATTTAGGTTGACAAAATAGTACAGAGTTTAACAAGAAAATGCCATCTTTGAAACAAAATATACAATGCACGCATAAATAAATAAAAAAATTAACATTAGTTTAAGATATCCATAATATAAAAGAACATAAATATACAAAATTTCTAATGCTTGACAAAGACTTACTTTGTGAAGGCCGTCTTCCCTGCTGTACTTACTACATAACACTCCATATTTTAAGAGTTCCTACAATAAAGAAATAAAGTAGGTCATTTCAGGCATTTAATCAAACACATCGATTACATTGCCTTGTTTCAACACGTTACAGAAATAATACTTTGATACTATAATAAATTGATTTAGACTGGGTTTCATGAGATTGGGTAAAAACACGAACAAAAAGTGATCTTGGAACTGTTACAACTCACCACTGCTTGTTTTCGTTACTGTGTCTTTCGAAGAGTGCGGGGCAGAGAAGCAGCGTCAATAGCATAAGGGCAAAGACACGTGTTCAACAGTATAGCGACACGTGAACATCCGCTGAATCAGCCATTTGGGCCTTGCCGAAATTATTGGGCCGTAGTTAATAAATTGGAGTAAAATTCTACAAAATGCTTAGGGAAAAATTTACAACTACTTTATCTATCTCAAAATTAAAAATCACAAGGTTTAGAATTGTAAAAATCAGGTCCCAAAATTTAGAATTACAAAAATCAGGTTTTTCATAAATTA